CAGAAAGAGTATATGACTATTCAAAATTAAATAATCAGATTTTAGAGTATGTAAAATAATAATTTATTAAATAAATTAATTTATATAATATTAAAATAAAAATAATAAATTATTAACTTTTTTTTATAATTATAGATTCCCTTTTTATGATCATCACGCACCAACTTTAAACTTATTATTTGAAATCGTTAATTCATTAGATAATTGGCTTAGAGCAGACCCAGAGAATATTGCAGTTGTACATTGTAAATTTTAAATTTTAACTATTTATTATATAATAATTAATGGTATGATACTAATTATTTTTATAATATTTTCAATACAATAGGTAAAGGTGGGAAAGGTAGAACAGGTTGTATCATTTGTTGTTATTTGTATTATAGTGGTCAGTTTGATACAATTGAGGAATCTATGCAACACTTTGCATTAAAACGTTCAAAGACAAAGAAAGGTGTCACCCAACCATCACAGCAACGTTATATAAATTATTTTAAAGAAATTGTTTCTGGTAATCACATGGTAGAGGAATTTACGTTAACATTTCGTTCATTAGAGTTGGGTCCTTTAACAAGAGATCAAGCAAATTCAATATCTATTGAAATTTTTGAACATGCAAAAGAACCAATTTTACAATTTTCAAGTTCACAAAATTCAATACAGTAAGTTAATAAATTCAAAATAAAGCTTTTATTTATCATACTAATGTTTTTTTTATTTATAATAATAGAACTGTACCAATAGAAAATAATAATAATATTAATAATGAACAACTTTTTAAAATTGTATTAATAGTTCAAAAGAAAATATCAAATGATGTATTAATTAGAGTATATAGAGGAGATGCAAGCAAGGGAAAACCAAAAATGAAGAATCAAATATTTCATTTAATTTTTAATATGGCATTTATAAATTTTAATCAAAACAATATATCTTTTGGTGTAAAAGATTTAGATCATTTCAAAGCAAATAAAAACTATGATCCAAATTTAAGAATAGATTGTAGATTTCAAAATAACTGTAGTGGTCAACCTGACCATTCTTTCAAAATTTGGAATATTATGTCTTTAAAATATCAAAAAACCAAATCACAAATAGAAACTGAAAAGAAAAATAAAATAAATAATGAAACAACACCCTCCACTACAACCACTAATACTACTACAACCACTACAACTACAACTACTACAACCACCAAAACCGAATCACTATCATCAACACCAATAGCATCAAATAACAATAGTTTAAATAACTCTATGAATATTTCTTCATCAAGTTCAATCGAAAATATAACAATTTTAGAGAAGAAAGAAAATAGATTATCATCAAGTAGTAGTTCTTTTAATGATAGTAGCACCACCAACGATACAACATCTAGCTATAATAATAATAATAATACAACCACAACTTTAAGTACAAGCATTAGCAATCTTAGCTTGGCTAGTAGTTTAAATAATAGCTCCAATAGTCTAGGCCTGAATATTAGTGATAGTTTTGAAATTTATAACGAAAATAGTGAAAAATCAACAAATACCACTTCTACTACATCAACAACTCCAGTTCTTGAAAGAAAAAGAAAAAATACTTTGTGGGCTGTCAAAACAAAAATTAAACCCTCACCAAATCTTTCAAGATTTTCATTATTTAATAATCACAGACTATCAAAACCCCCTAAAAATTTAAAAAATAATGAAATTGTACCAAAAGAAATAACTGAATCCATTGAATCAAATGAAACATCCAAATCAAATGAACCATCCGAAACAACTGAACCATCTGAATCAAATGAACCATCTGGATCAAATGAACCATCTGAACCAATAGAACCAACAGATCCAACAGATCCTATAAATAATATAAATTGTAATACTACCGAAGAAACTAATAATATAGTTAACAATATAGATAATAATGATAAATTTATTGAAAACTCGAATAAAGACAATCATAAAGAAAATATAATAAAAAACTAAAGGATTAACTTTATTTTTTATTATATTTTAAAAAACAAAACCTTTAAATTATGTATTTTTTTATTTTTATTTTATAATTTTAGTTGAGTGTTAAAAATAAAGAATAAAACAAATAAGAAAAAAAAGAAAAAAAAGAAAAAAAAGAAAATAAAAGAAAAAGTTTGGATTTAAATATTTATATAATATACTATATAATTTAATAAAATATTTTATTTAAGAGATATAACTGTATTCACTTTCTTTCATTTGACGGGATAAATAATCATCATTATATTTGGAGAAACATTGGTATTGTTCAATAAGTTTATCTTTAACAATTCTTTCATATTCGGCCTTGATAACTTCTTCGTTTTCTTTAACAGCTTTTTTGACAATTTCTTGAACCTCTTCTAATGTAAAAAGTCTTTGTGGTTGTTGTGTATTGGTATTTAAAATAGCTCCACTATTTTGATTATTAATTTGGTTCATATTATTAATATTGTTATTTTGATTATTATTTACATTTTGGTTCATTTGATTTATATTGTTAGTGTTGTTTCTATTAAGTCTAATTGGTTCGGTGTTTTTAATTTTATCTAAAATTTCATCGATTGGTGATTGTACATTATTAAAGAATTGATATTCGGATCTATTTCTTTGGAGTTGTTGGGCTTGTTGTTGTTGTTGTTGTTGTTGTTGGAAATGTCTAAATTTCTTTGATTGACCATCATAATCTTGTTCCATTGGTTGCCTATATGGTTCAACTGTACTATTATTGTTGTTGTTGTATGAATTATTATCGTTGTATGAATCAAAATTTCTTTTTAGTTTTAACATTATTATTTATATATATATATTATATGAAAAATTTATAATTAAAGAGTTTTTAAATGAATTATTATTATGATAAAAAAATATTATTGTTTTTATATGGAAAGGAAAAAAAAAATACTATTTAATTGTTTATTTGTGTAAAATATTATTTAGTATATATTGAGTAGATATTTTAGTTGTTAATACAACAATTGTATCTATTATTGTTATTATTATTATATTATGTTATTAAAAAATATTTTTATTAATTATTATTAATTTATTTAAAAAAAAAAATTGATTTCGTAAAAAAAAAATAAGAGGAAAAAAATGTATTAATATATATAATTATTTTATTTTTATGTAGTAATAAAATTTAAATGTTACAATTTTAAGTTTAAATTTATTTATATAATTTAAAATAAAAAATAGAGATAATTGGAAATAAATTATTATTTATTTGTTTGTGTGAGTAAAAAAAATTAAAAAAAAAAATAAAAAAATAAAAAAAAAAAAAAAGTATTTAAATTAAAAAAAAAAATTAAAAAAAAAAAATTAAAAAAAAATTAAAAAAAAAATTAAAATTTAAAAAATTATTTAATAAAAAGTTTTTTTAACTCTGTTAAAATACAGATTTTTTTTTTTTTCCAATAGAATTTAAAAAAGATAATACCTACACCAATAGTAATAATAATAATTGTATATTTCAAATAAATAATATCTTAAAACAGTTTATTACTGCCTTATTATTCATACATATACACCATAACGAAAACTTTTAAATAAACTATAAATAAATAAAAAATAAAAAATAAATAAATAAAAATAAATAAAATAATATTCAACCCAAACATAAATTTTGAAAAGATAAATTCCATTTTTAGTTATTTTTTTCAATAATTATTATATTTCTATTTTAATTTTTCACTGAATAACAAAAAAAAAAAAGCTTTTGATGAAAATTATTAAATTATTTTTTTAAATTTAAATTTTTTATTTTTTTTTAAAAAAAATATTTTTTTATTTTTTTATTTATTATTTATTTCAAAATAATAATGAATTTCACAAAATCAAATAAACAAAGACAAATAAGGAAAAAAGTTATTGAAGAAGAAAATATAAACAATACAGATAATAATAATAATAATAACAATAATAATATCGATAATAATAATAATAATGAAATAAATATAGATTCAAATTTTATCCAACCAACGAAATCAATAATAAGTGGTAGTTTAAATAAAAAAAAAAATAATACTTTTTCAACAAAAAAATCGACACCATCAAATAAATCATTAAATTTATTTAGTTTTGAAGAAGGTGAAAGCAATGATAATGGCAATGAAGGTGATATGGGATCAATCAAAGCTAACCCGATAATGTTAAAAAGAAATGATATTCAATTCGAAGACTCAAAAGCAGTAACTATTAAATCAGAATCATTAGGCCAATATACAAACGAAATTCTAGATAGTTTAAAAAAGACAACAACATCAAAACCCGTAAAACTTGAAGACCAAATACCTAAAAAGGAACAACACACTGAGGAGGAGGGTAATGGAATGGAAATCGATGATAAAAAGTATAGTGACGAAAATAAATCATCCAATTTTGTACCCCCAACAGCCGAACAAATTAAACTGGCTAAAGAAAGAAGGCTAAGAGCAAGAGATGGCCATTTAGAGACCTCATCCACCCAATCGACATCAAAAACACTTTCTAAAGATTTTTTACCACTTAAAGTTAGCGATAATGATGATGAAAATGAATCAAACTCAAGGCTAATTAGAGAAGATGATGATGATGAGTTAGAAGAAGAGTACAACATCAAATCAAAGGGTACTATTAAATTTGGGGATCCTGGTAAACAAAGTAAAAAAGATATAATCAATGATGAAGATTTTCAAGATATTAATAAATCAACTAAATCAAAGTCTACTGCCGATCAAGATGAAGATGAGGTCGAGGAAGAAGATGAAGAAATTCAAAGATGGCGTTTAGAACTAATTAAAAAGGGTGGGGGTATGAAAAGTAATCAGCAGCAACAGCATAGTGTATCAGATGACTATCATAGAAAGAAAATTGAAAGAGAGATATTACTAGGTCCAGTTGAGGGTGAAAGCGGGTATAAATCATCACCAAGTTTTACAAATATAGCCACTGGTGCAACAACAAAATCATCGTCGACATCTTATTTGGAAATGGTTTTAAAGGATTTAGGTTTAGCATTATCAAGCTTAAATGAAGTTAAATATTCACACCAGAGTGAATTTGAAAAAATTCAAGAAGCACTAAGAGATTCGGTTATACATCTCTCAACATTGGAATCGAGTCAACATTTATCACAGGACCAGGCAATATTTTATGACGAATTAAAGCAATACTCTGATAATATGACCGATTGCTTAGGTGAAAAAATACCACAAATCGAAAAATTAGAAGATCGTTATATAGAACTGCTTAAAGATCATGCTCACGATATAAGAAAACAACAAAGATTAGAAATTCAAGATCACATTGAGCTAATTCAAGAAAATGAACCAGAATCAAATATTAAATCAATTGTTAAAGATGACGAGAAAATGAAAACAGAACAAGAAGAAGATTTAGATGAATTTGGAAGAGATCGTTCTTATTTTGAAAAAAGCTCAAGAAATAAAAGATTGGAGCAATATAGATCAAGAAATAATGATAATCAATCTGGTGAAGAGGAAATGTTATTAAACGAATCTGATGAAAAATATTATTTAGATGAAAGAAATAAAGTTTTAGAGCTTATCAAAGAGGTTATAGTCGACGTTGACCCAGATTACAGCGATATCGTTAATATTAAAGAGAAATTTGAACATTGGAAATCAAAAGATTTAAAGTCCTATCAGAAAGCCCAAATGCCTTTTATAATGCCCTCAATATTTGCCCCATTTGTTAGATTGCAAATGATCGAATGGTCTCCACTATCAAATATAACTTTTGATTCATTAAAATGGTATAATGATTTATTCAGTTATGGTTTAAATGTAAGTTATAATCTTTATTTTTTTTATAAAAAGTATAATTTAAACTAATTATTTATTTATTACTTATAGGAAGATAAAAACTCAAATAATCAAGATGACGAAGATAATAATTTAATACCTAAACTTATCGAAAAGGTTGTTATACCCAAGGTCGAAATATTTATTACTTTTATTTGGGATCCATTTTCAAAGAAACAGACAGATAATTTAATAAATTGTATCGATGAATTATTATTATATATCGATAAGAACTGTGAAGATATCAAATTACTTTTTTCTCAAATTTTCTCAACTTTAAAATATACGATTGATTCCATAACTTTGATTCCATACTCAAAGCAAGATTTAACTTTTTCAGCAAACTATTTCAAAAAATGTATAGCTCTACTAATTAATATTTCAAAGTGGTCAAAATTTTCATTACAATTGCCCCATATCAAACTCAATCAATTAATCGAATACAGCGATGAGGTTATAAATATTTCAATTTTACCATTTTTAAATAAATTAATAAATAATAATAACACAAGCAATAATAATAACACAAGCAATAATAATTTATTTGATTTATTTAACCAATATTTAACAAATGTACAGTGGTCAAATATAAAACATAAACAAACTTTAGATAATTTTTTAAATCAGTTAACAAAAAATTAAATAAAAAAATAATAAAAAAACGATTAAGAGTTTGATATACTCCCAAATGTTAAAAGCTTTTTTGATAACTTTATAAAAAAAAATAAAAACGAATTTCTTAAATTTTTTTTTTTTTAAAATTTTTTTTTGAAATTTTTTTTTAGTGGTTTAAATTAGATATTTTTTCAATCACAGATTGGTGTAACATTTTTTTTGATTTTAAAAAAAATCAGTCAATTTATTTTTTTTAATTTTTTTTTAATTATTTTTTTTTTCTAATCATTCACACAGAAATGTTTATAAATTGATCAAAATTTTTTTTTTTTTTTTTTTTTTTCAAATCATTAACATTTCACAAACACATAAATAAATAAAAATGCCACTCCCATTGCTTGCCAGGTAAATAATTTTATTTTTGGTTATAAAATGCACAAATATTTATATATTTTTTTTATCCTATAGAAAATCATTAAGAGATAACGAAGAACACTTAAAAACTGCTGTTGAAAGTATTCAACAATCTTTAGGTGTTGAATGGTCAATCGGTAAGTATTTATTTGTTTTTTTTAAAAAAGTTTATAATTTTATTTTTAAAATTAATTTTTAAAATTTTAATTCTATAGAATTTGATTTTGAAACCATCAGTGCTAAATTAGATGAAAGCTACAGAACCCAATTAGGTGATTTATTCTATAAAGATGTTGCTGGTTACATTGCTCAATGTGTTAAACGTGCTTGTGAAAATGAAATGACCAAAGAAGCTTTAATTGAAGCCAACACCTCAAACAAAATCAGCGTTGTTGTTAACGATGATAAAAAATTCGATAGATATTGGAAATTTGTTTTCCAAAACAACACCGATTTAGTTCTTTTCTTCAAACCAAATCTCTGCAATTTATCAGATATTGCTTATTTATCTTTATCAGAAATTATCCCAACTCCAGGTGTTTATTCTTTAAATGCTAGACTTAACCTCAAAAAGAATGAAGAAAGCTTCCAAGAATCTTTTGAAAAAATTAAAGAAATTACTAAAGTCGATTGGTCACTCGATGATACTAGTCTTGAAACCCTCTACCCAACTCTTGAAAAGAGCTATCAAGATAGCATCGGTGATATCTTTTCAGAAATTACTATTTATGTTGCCCAAAACATTGTTAAACGTTGTGCCGATGAAATGGTTTTAGAAGCTTTCAATGAAGTTTGTACCAATGGTAAACTTGTTTTCAAAAATAACGCTAAACAATCAGAATATTGGACATGGGCCTTCATCAATGGTGATTTAGTTGTAAGCTACAGATCTATTTGTAACACTTCCGATAATGCTCACTATAACTTTGAAAAATTATTGTAAATTAATAAAGATTGCTTTTTTTTTAAAAATTTAAAATTATTTTAAATATTTATAAAGTTTTTAATATATTTATAAATTTTTATTTAAATTTTATTAAAACATAATTTAAATATAAAGATTAATGAAAATAATAAATACGAAAATAAATTTATAAAAAAGTTTTTTATTTATTTTTTTTAAAATTATTAATTTATTATTTATTTTTTTTTATATCAAGATATTTATAAATTAATCTACCCCTTCTATTTGATTGGTAAATTACTTTATCACAATCATCTTGGGTGATATTTATAAAATTTAAAAGGAATTTAAATATATCTAAAGAGTCATTTGAGATTGAAAAGTTTGATATGGTTAAAATATTTGCTAAAAATAATTCGCTGTAGTTGATGGCAATATATTTCAATACTGGTAAATTACCTGAAACAATTATATTCTTTAAAATCTTATAAAATTTTGATTTAAAAGCTTCATCAGAGTTCATTGCAAATTCTCTTAAAATGGTTTTGATAAAGACATGCGATATATTTGTAATGCACACTAAGCTGGAAATAGAATGAATAACTTGTTTTATCGAGAAGGTTTTAATTATTGATATAATGTCGTCATAGTGTTTACAGGAGTAAAGCATTCTGAGGTACGAGAAAGTACTTGTTAAAAACAAAAATTCTTTTTTTTCACTACCATCTCCCAGAGTGATAGATATATGATATGTGGGGTAATTATCTGAAAGAACAGTAACTTTGCCATTTTCTTTTAACCATGATGAAAAGATAAGGATACCACCAGTATAATGTTGAAATACTATATCTAAATTGAGTTGAGTGAATTGGTAAATTGTCAAAAACTTTAGTAAAACCATATAATCAATATTTGCTAATCTTTTAATGTCCTTGCTGACAAAAATTGATACGAGGAATTCTGTTTTTTCTTCTTGTGATGAATCATTGACAGTGTATATTGATGGAAAACTTGCTGCTCTAATCAATCTTTCAATAATACCACTATTATTTGCATTGAAGTTGTTTTGACGGTATCGTTTAAAGTTAATTGATAGTTTTCTTGATAATGAATTCATTAATTGTTCGTAATGTTGTAAAATATTAATATCTTCTATAAGAATATATATATCGTTGTTTTCTTTAAAGAAAATTTCTTGATGGTTATAAAATAGATAGTCCAATACTATAGTTGATTTGGTTTGAGCCATTGGGTAGTATAGTTCGGTAGTTGACCAATCACTGTAACTCAAAAAGTTTGTGAGATGAGCTATTAATTGCAAATTATCACTTGAAAAAACCCATCCCAACATAGTTTCAATTCCATCAGATGTATTGTTATCTTGGATAATCTTTCTGATGGTCTCACTATCTTTGAATAATAAATAATAAAATATTGACTTTTGTTTTTGAATTAAATTAATTCTTTCGAATATATTATAAATATTTAATTTAAGTTTATGGTATTTGTTACTATTGTTGGTAATTGGATTATTTTGTTTTGAAGCATTTATTTCTTCGATATAATATCTGGTTACAATACTTGAATAGTCTGTTCTCAATTCAAATAATTGAGCATTATTATTGTCGGTATCTTTCTTTGGTAGATTAGATTCAAATAGTTTGACATCTAATAATGGTGATAATAGTTGGATAATAGATGAATTTAATTGTTCATTAGTGAATTGGGAGGCTATATCTTCACTATTTGCGATATTTGAAAGTGCTAGATCAATTTCGATTAAGTCTTTTAATTTAACAGAGACATCAAAGAGATTAAGGATATTGATATCAACATGTATAATTTCAATTGATAATGATTTTAAATATATATATAGTTGGAAATCCTTTAAAGATTTGATTTTATATTTATTGGTTCTTCCATATTCATCCATTTCTTTGAAATAGTTTTGAATAGTTTCTTTTTGAATACCAAAATATTTGAAAAATTGCTCCAAAGCGAATAAATTAGAACTTGATAAAATTTGATCTACTACTTTAATATAAAATAAGAACCAATCCTTATTAGTTGTGAATAATATTTTATAGAATTCTCTGTTTTCAGCGGTATCTTTATCTATTTGTTTAAAAATTTGATATAGACCATTTTGTGGTCCTTTATCAATTGCTAAATAACCCCCACTTTTTAACTTGTCTAAAACTATACTTGTGCCATTACTGAATTTTTGAAGGATAGGGCTAACGCCAAATAATCTATCATATCCATGGGTTTTCGAAAATGTAAAGTTTGAAAAAATTTTTTTGAAAAGAAATATATCTCTAAAAACCCTCCAAAACAACTTTTCAGTACTGTTAACTTCTTTATTTGCAAACCCTTGTGGTCTGATTGATAATGTTTTATCTTTATTTTCTTTTTCTAAAAATTTTGGTAAATTTTCTTTTGCTGTAAAATATTTATTTATGATATTGTAGGTATTTTCTTTATTTTCTGGAATTGTGCGTTCAGAATCCTCATCACTATCATACACTTCATTGTCACTATCACCATAACGATAATTAAAAATTCCTTGTGATTTTCCGATTTCTTTTAATTTTTCATTATCATAATTCTCTAATTTAATTTCTTTAAACTGTTGCATTGTGTAATATTAGTGTGGCACACTTGAAAAGCTTTTGCAATACTAAAAAAAAAAAAATTTTATGAAAAAAAAAATTTTAAAAAATTTCAATTATTTTTTTTTGAAAAATATCTTGTTTTGTTAATTTAAAATGATTTTATAATTATTTAATTAAAATAGCAGTTATTTAAATTTCATAACTAAAATTATTAATTAATAAAACTGGGTATAGTTTAAAAAGTTCTACCACTACTTGAAATGTATTATCATCAAAATTTCACATTTTCTTTTTTTTTTTTTTTTCGGGGTGTGAAGATTTTTAAAGAGATAATGCTTTAAATTAATCAATAAATTTTATTTAATGTTTCTTTTTTGTAAAATTATTTTTGATTATTATAACTTAAAAGTATTGTTAATTATGTAAGGTACTAAGATCAAATAATTAAATAAAATAAAATTTATATGAAGTGTTTATGTTTTGGTAAAATTCGAAAACTAAAAAGTTTTTATTATTATTTTTTTATTTTTTTGAAAAAATTCTTTTTTGATGAATTAAAATAATTGTTGATTATTAAAAAAAAAAAAAGCTAGGATTATAATTAAAAAAAAACTAAAAAAAAAATAAATAAAATGTTTAAAAAAAATTAAAAGAAAGGAGGAAAAGAGAAAAATTGTGATGTGTGTTTTTGTGTTATTATTTTGCAAATTTTAAAAATCGATTTTTAAAGAGATAATTTTTTTTAAAAAAAGAGATAAATTTTAAAAAAAAAATTTAAATTAATAAGCTACCAATAATGGGTAAAAACTGAGAATAGGATAATTTTAATTCTTTAAATATAAAAAAAAAAAGCTTAAAATTATTTCTGCTTTATTTTTATTTTTTTTTTTTAAAAAATTTTATAATTTAATAATTTTAAGTATTATTTGATTCTTTTATTTAAATTATTAGGGCGGTAACATCAATTCGTGTGTGATTCGGAAACTTGAGAGACTGTTATATTATTTTTATTTATAAAAAATTTATAAAATTAATTTTTTTAGTTTACAAATGTAATAGCTTTTTTTTTTTTTTTAAAATTTGTATATAATAGTATTCTTTTTTATTATTAATGAATAAATTATTAATATCATTATTATTATTGTGTTTTAATGGCTCATCCCTATAATCTCCACCTTTAATAAAAAAAAACTTAAAGGTTTTTTTTTTTTTTTTTTAAGTATTATTATTTGATTCTATTATTTTGAAATTATAAAGAATGATTGAAAAAAAAAAAAAAAAAAAAAAAAAAATTTTCAAAAAAAAAAAATAAAAAATTAATAAATAATAAAAAATAAAAAATTAAATTATAACCCCACCACACACTTTTTTTTTTTTTATTATAATTTTTAATTAAAAACTAACTAGTGTTTAGTTTTTCCCATAAAATATAAGTTTATATGTTCAATATAAAATTTTTTTTTTTGAAAATAGTTTCAATTTGTAAAAATTATTGCGCTACCAAATAATAATTTCATTTAAGACTTAATTAAGAGGGTCTAACGTTAATTGGTCTGGTGAATTATAATGCGAATATGGAGCAAGCATAATTTTTATATATCATCACGTCCATTTCCAACTTTTAGGGATGAAAAAACGATTTTTATTTCGCTTACTTTTTTATCTTTCGGGTGATCATTAACAAAAAGCTACTGATAATAAAAATTCTCTAGTTCTGTTAACCTTCATCATTTTTAATTTGGAGTAAGTAAAAAAATTAAATTTGGTTCAATTTTATATTCAATTTCCATTTCATCTGTTTCAGTATTTGTTGAAAAGCTGATAGGAAAAACCAATTACATTGGTTATTATCTTTTTTAAGTTTTTATTATTTTAACTTTTTTTTTTTTTTTATTTAAAATATAAAAACAAAAATATATTTACAAAAAAAAAAAACAATAAAAAACAATATTTATTTTGATGATAATACATTACAATTATTGAGTAATGATCCTTATTCATTACAATTACTGGCCATAAAAACACCGGAAAGATTTAACTCTTCGGGAAGATAAATTGTCAATAATTGATTTGCGCATGCTGGGAATCGAACCCAGTTCGCATCCGTGGCAGGGATGCATCATACCACTAGACCACATGCGCTAATTGATGAAAATTTTAAAATCTTGCAAAAATGTGAGTTTTTTTTTGATTTGTGGTTTGGAATTAATACAATACTTTGTACCAAGTTGTGAGTTTTTTTTGAAAAAGTTTTTAAAGATTATAATCAAATTTTTTTTTTAAAAATTTTTTTATTATTTAAAATTTGATGAAAAATAAAAAAAAAAAAGATTTTTTTTTTTTGTTAAGCAGAAAAAAAGACCAATATAATAAAGAAATTTATATTTTCATTTCTTTTTTTTAAATTTGATTATGTTCCAAAAAACTATAAAAGAAATTTATCTAAATTTTTTTTTATTTTACAAAATAAAAAATGAAAATAAAAAATATTATTTATTTATATTGTTCAGGTATTGCTTACTTGTGTTTTTGGTGCCGAAAAAAAGTTAATGGTGAATTAACATTCTATGCTGCTGGAGACAATTGCCCAGGTGCTGAAATTGCTTACCAACAACATCTATGCCACAGGCTGGTGGATTAGGTACATACAGTGATCCCATTACATGTGCTAGTGCTAGTGCATGATTGCCTGTTTATTCTCTCGTTTATATCCCAGTTTACAAAAAGTATTTCATAATGGCCGATTCTTGTGAAGAATGCGAAAATGAATGGGATGATGATGGAATATACCAAATAGATGCTTGGCTTGGTTTGTCCACCCATAGTTTGACAAGGTACTACTAATTGTGAAGCCCAGCTCTCTTTAAGCAATACCCAATTTATTATTAACCCTGTTTCAACATATACGGTAATTACAACACCATTCTTCCAAAATGGAACTTGCATATCGCCTATCACAGATCCATGTGTTGATGAAGGAAATGAATGTGGTACTACTTGCCAACTACCAAGTGATATGTCTTGTTAAGCTGCAGCAAACTTGTTTGATATAACTTTAGCTAGATTTAAAGCATTGAATCCTTCTCTAAGTTGCACAAGTAATATTGCCAAAGGAAAAACTGTTTGTATGAGTGGTTCATGTGGTGGTCCATAAAACCTTAGGGTTTTCAATCTTTTTTTTTTTAAATATTATTTATTAGTATAAAAAACAAAATTAAAAATAAAAAAAAAATTTTTTAAAAAAAATTTAAAAAAAAAAAAAAAAAAAAATTTACCCATTAGTAATCTTTAATATATATAAACCATAAAAAAAAGATATATAAACCCACTTTTCAAGAAAATATATTTATAGATAATAATGGTGTAAATGATTATTAATCATTTGGAACCCATAATAAAAAAAAAATTTTAAAAAAAAAAAAAAAAAAAAAAAAAGGGTTAAAAGATTTTACAAACAATTAATTTAGAAAATAATTTTAAAAATAAATAATTTTTTCAAAAAATCATTTGAATATTATTATTTTGAAAAAAAAAAAGATTATAATTTTTTTTAAAAAAAAATAAAAATTATTAAAGTAAACAGTAATAAATTGTTTTTTTTTTAATTGATTTTGTATATATGAAAAAAAAACAAATATATAGATACAGATATTGTCATTACATATAAGAAAATATTTGTTTTGTTTTTTTTTTTGTTGCATATAGTTGTTATTTTAAAAAAAAAACAATAAATCTTTTTTTGTTAAGGCTTGCAAAAGATTATAAAATGATTAATAATCAACATTAAAAAGAAGATATAAATAATATTTGATTTTTATTTATTTTTATTTTTATTTTTAAAACTATTTAAACAAATTTTTTTTTTTTTTATAAAACATCATTTGAACAACAAAATAAAAAATAAACAAATAACAAATAAATTTTAAAAACTAATATATTATAAAAAATGTTATTTAGTAAGATTTTATTTTAAAGTAAATTATTTAATTAGATAAAAAATTAATTATTTTTTTATTTTTGATAATTATAGAATCAATTGCTAGTATTTCAATGTTAAACAATAAAACCAATATTAAAAATAATGAAAATATAGAAAATAATAATCAATGTGATAATAAAGTCAGTAAATGGAATCCAAGGTATGTATATAAAAAAATTAAATTATAAAATAATATATACTCATTATTGTTTTTTTTATTATCAGATATACTTTTACAAAATTCAATCTCTTTTCTCAAACCGCTGTAGTCTAATTTGACATAAAATATTGTATATATTGTTTTCATATGGTACTATAGGAATTTTAAAAATATAATTATAACCAAAAAAATAATAATCAAAAAAAAAAAAAAAAATAGAAAAATAATAAAAATTTGATTAAATAATTGTTTTAAAAATAAATTTTCATAATAAACTACTATTATTTTTTTTATAATTATTACTATTTTTAATATATAGAAAATATTATTTTAATATTTATTTTATTATTAATATTTACTATTATTTACTCACACATCACACACTCACTGTTTTCCATATACTGGTTATTCTCCCCCCAGAAATCCATATCAATAATAATTTTTTTTTTATGTTTAAATCTTTAATATTTTTACCCACACTAGATTTTGATTCAAAATAATTTATATGATTTAAATTATTTTTATTATATATCTGTTTGTAAACCCCAAAATTTAATTTATATTAAGATTTTACAATTAAATAATTTATTTTTAGCCAATGAATTATTTTTTGCTATGAAAGGGTTAATCATTTTTCAATGTAATAATAATAAAAATTAAAATAATAATAATAATAATAATAATATATTATTCAAATTAACTGAAAATAATATATTTGGAAAAAATTTAAATACTGTTGCTTAATATAGATGTTGTAAATTATATTTAGAAAAAATATTTAAATGATTTTTTTTTCTTAATTAAAATAGTTAAATCAATTTAAAACCATAAAAACAATTAAAACAATTAAAACAATTAAAACAATTTAAACAAAAATAGAAAATAGAAAATAGAAAATTTATAAAAAATAGTTAATATAAAAATTTCCAAAAAATGTCAATTTTCAGTATGTAAAAATAATATAAAAAATCAAAAAAAATTATCTTATATATTAATATATCTTTTTTAAATATTTTTAATTTTAGAAAATATAACTTTATTAGGCTCCAATGTTTCAAAAAGTAATAATAAAAAACTAAATGAAAACAGTGGCATTTTTATGAATGAAAATACTAACAATACAAATGCTAAATGGAATCCAAGATACTATTTAATTAAATGTAAATATTTTGAAATGACTGCCATTGCCTAAATTAAACCAAGAAAGCAAAAATGAAAATTACAATATAATAGTAATAATAGTAATAATAATTTTAAAAAAAAAAAAAATACAATTACAAAATTAAATATAGTTTATAAAAAAATAAAAAATCTAAAAATTTAATATAAAAAAAAAAAATAAAAAAAATTTTTATTTATTTACATTATGAAATATTATCTTTTTTTTTTGTGTTTTTTTTTTTTTTTTTTTTGTTAATTTTTTTTTTTATAAAAGAAAAAGAAAAAGAAATATGTATTTAAAAATAATAATTATTATTATTTTTATTTTTCTAATAATATGGGTCCAAACCTGCTAATTTTCTGGCACGTTCATTTAATACTGGTAATGTAGTTTCATCAAATTGGAATCGCTGTTCTCTTTCTGTATCGCCATAGCTACGTGGAGTACGTGCAAATAATTTTATATTTTCACTTGCCCAATGTGATGTCATTCTTTTGGAATAAAATGCTTTTTGTTTTTGACCTATTACCCTTTCATTTGCTAATGAGGCAGGTTGACAAGATACATAAACGACTTCTCTGCAATTACCGGTACCCTTGTGTTTGATTGGTGGACAAGCATAGTGAATAGTTCTGCTATCCCATAATACAAAATCACCAGGATCACAACAGACCTTTATCTTTTTACAGTTTTTGAACCACTTTAATGGTTGTGGGTCTTCTTGAAATTTATACCAATCACCATCTGAAACAGCACCAGACTCTTTAAAGAATGCATCATGTTGTAAATGTGAATCTTCATACACTATTAAACCACCATCAAATTCTTGACATGGTTGTAAATTTAAAAATCCTTGAATACATCTGAAATCATTCTTTTGACTACCTTGATCGAAATGAGCCCACATTGATGCTCTACTTTCAATAGTTGGTCTTGATAAATTAGCACCATCAAAACTAACCAATAGTTCTTTATCTTGATATATCATTTCAAATATTTTAATAATTTCCTCTTCTGATCTAACATCCCAAACAAACTGTGTTTGTCCTATAGCATATCCTTGAAAAATACCATGGATATGACCCTATTTTTTTTTTTAATAAAGTGTTATAAATAAAAATATTATTTAAACATAAGTTATTATAAAATACTTACGGGCCAATTATCTGAAGTCCATGTAGATGGTTTATTTCTTTTAACACCAGAATTAAATCCCTCTACCCAATCCCAAAATCTAGATGAATATTCTTCACATTTTTCTTTTGGTATCACATTCTTTACAATTGCCCAACCATGATCATATAAATGTTTACGCCATTCAGGCCAATCTTCTTTTGGCACATTACACTTTTTTCTTATTTCTTTATATTGCTCTTCGAGATCCATTTGTCTTTTATTTAATTTTTTTGTTGTTGTTTTTGTTTTTGTTGTTGTGGTTGTTGTTGTTGTTGTTGTTTTAGCAGTAGCTGATTCTACTTTTTTTACTTTATTAATATCTTTACTATTATTGTCTTTATTATTTTTGTTTGATGATTTGGTCATTTATATAGTTAAATATTTTTAATTTAATGAATGAAAACAAAATTATTTAGTTTAAATACATATATAGAAACTTCTAAGAAAAATAAAATTAAAAAAAATGAGAAAAAAAAAATAAAATATAATTTAAAAATAAAAATTTTAATCTGAAATATTTATTTATTTATTTTTTTAATTTTTTTTTTTAAACACATCATAATACGTGTTTAAGTGATTGATATGACTAGTATGAATCCTTATTAATTTTGTTAAAAATATAAAAATGAATTTACAATTTCACTTTACATTATTAAAGACTTATTCGCTTAATATATTTTTATTTTAAATTAAATATTATTATATTTTTAATTTAAATTAATTATTATTATATTATTATAAAACTTAAATAATATCATGTATACAGAAACTATATTAAATATTATAAATAAAAAAAAATGAAAAAAAATGTAAAAAAATGAAAAAAAATGTATTTTTTAAATTTAATTAAAAAAAAAAAAAAAAAATTAAAAAAAAAAAAATTTTGCTAAAACGAAAATCCAATAATGACAAAGTTGTTTATAAGAGCATCAGCGGGTGTTGTGGAAAATGAAAAAGGGGAAATATTGGTATGCAAAAGAGCATCACACAGACATTTAGCAAATAAATTAGAATTTCCTGGCGGTAAAATCGATAATGATGAAACACCTGAACAAGCATTAAAAAGAGAATTGTTTGAAGAAGTAGGTGTAGAAGTTAATGTTCAAAATGATAAAGAAATAAAACTAATTAAAGATGTATGTTATGACTTTGGCGAAAGAGAGTGTTTAATATATTTCTTTAAAATAGAAAAAGATCAATGGTCTGGAAATGTTAGTGGAAAAGAATCACAACCAATTTACTGGATGAATTTACATCAACTTCAAGAAAAATCAGATGCATCAGAATTTCCTGAACCAAATAAAATTATAATTAATATTTTAAACAATACTAATAATAACAATAATGATAATAATATAATTAAACAATAAACAAATACTATATATAATGTAACAAAACTATAAAAACCAAAACATATATAATAAAAAGAAATTAAAAAAATAATCCTTATTTATATTATTTATTTAATTTTATATTATTCCTTTTTATATTATTTTCATTTAAATAGTAATATGTTAAGATATCACAGTAATAGATTGGACAATAATATCTTGGTTCATTAATCTCTATTAAATTATAACCTTCTTCACAAACTGGTTTGGTTACTTGGGTACAATTAACAGGGATAATACAACCAGTTGGTGGTGCACATTTAGTTTGAGGGTCCATTCTATTTCTTTTAATCTTAAAGTATGGATCACATCCATCTGGCTCTGGGAATTGGGAATAACAAAATTGAATTTTGCTGTAGGTTAATAGTATTTTTTGGTTGTTATATATGGATTTTTCTTCATAATTTGATGGTAGTTTCATTACTTGAATAGTTTCTTTTAGTCCAATGGCTGAGCTATACCACTCGTTATCGAATCCCTCTATTTCGCTATATGGTGATATTAACGAACTAGTGTTGACTCTATATGGATAACCTTCTTTCATTTCTGTAAACAATAGTAGTGATGATGAATTTTGTACACAAGATTTTTTAGAATGTTCCTCGGTAACGAGATAATAATGTATTTTTTTTGAATGTTTTGTGATATATGAATATTCATATTTTTCTGATCCCTTGTAAGGTAATGGTCTATATAATCCACCAATGATTGCAATAACCTTATTAAGGTCACTATAACTATTTATTACAGCATTTACAATCGATGTCTTTGCATTCAATTCAAATATTTCATCAGTCATACCATTTGGTTTTCTTATATTATTTTTTGAAATTTTGTATGATATTTTGTCATTTGTAATTGATTTAAAAGAATAATTTCCTATTTTAAAAAAAAAAAAATTAATCATTAAATATTTATATTCTAATTTTAAATTTTTTCATTTTACATACCATCCTCTTCTATTGAATAAAAAAAATAATTTTTAAAAAAACTGTCCTTTGAAAATATTAATATAATTTGAGATAAAAATAAAACTATTAAAAAAATATTTTTAAATTTTAGCATTGTTAAACACTTTAACATATAAAAAAAAAATAAAAAAAAAATCAAATAAATTTTTTTTAAAACAAACAAATGAAAAAAAATTAAAAAAAATAAAAAAAATATAAAGATTTACCTGGTTTGTAATATAGAGAAAAAATAATAAATAAATCATAAATTATTATTTTTTCATTATTTATTATTGTTATTTTATTATTTAAAAATTTTATATGGTTTTTTTTTTTTTTTTTTTTTTTTGTACTTATTTAAAAAAAAATTTAACTTATCACAATATATAAATAAATTAAATTTTATTATATTACAACACATTAAACAAATGATTTTTTTTTTTAATCTTATGTGAATTGCATTGTGTGGAAATCTGATTGAACCAGAAAAAATTGGTTTAATAGTTTTTAGTTTAAATTTCAGAGTGATTGCACCACAATTGGGAAAAAAAAAAAAAAAAAAAAAAAAAAAAAAAATCATTTTTTTTTTTTAAATTTTAAAATAAAATAAAATATATTTTATTTTATTTTTATAAAAAAAAATTTAAATTATTTTTTTTTTTTTTTTATTTATTGTTTTTAATTTTACACCTATTTGTTGTTATATATGTTTTAAATTTTAAAAAAAGAAAAAAAATAAACAAAACTAAATTGGGTAATTAAAAGATATTAAAATGATTCCAAACAAACCAGATATCCAAAATAAACCAATTACCATAGATATTTTAAAACAAATTCCAAAAGCTGAATTACATAGGTTAGTTTTTAATAATAATTTAATTAAAATAAATATTTAAAGTTTTATTAATAAATTATAAAAAAAAAAAAAAATTAAAAAAAAAATTAAAAAAATTTTAAATAGACATTTAGATGGTTCAATTCGTATATCCAGTTTAATAGAATTAGCAAAAGAACAAAAAGTAGAATTACCAAGCTATGATGTTGAAGAATTGTCAAAATATATCTTAAAGGATAAAGATTGTAAAAGTTTAGACCACTTTTTAGAAGCATTTCAATATACATGTAAAGTTTTACAACATGCATGTAAGTATATAAATTTAAAACAAAACTAAAAAATTTTAAAAAAAATTTATAAACTAATATTATAATAATAATAATAATAGATGCAATTACAAGAGTATTTTATGAAATGTGCGAAGATGCTATTAATGATGGTGTTACATATTTAGAAGTTAGATTTTCACCAATATTACATACATTAAATGGTTTATCTTTAAGTGAAGTTATGGAGGCAGTTTGCGATGGCTTGGCAATGGCAGAACTTAACTTATCAATTAAAGCAAGAGTTATTGTATGTGGTTTAAGACATTTAGATCCATCTGTAACCAAAGATTTAGCAGAAATTGCATGGAGATATAGACATAAAGGTGTTGTTGCTTTTGATTTAGCAGGTTCAGAAAATCAATTCCCAAGTAAATATCATAAAGAAGCATTCTCAATTATAAGAAATAAAGGTATTAACTGTACATTACACAGTGGTGAAGATAGTGATTGGACTTCAGTAAGCGACTCTTTACATTATTGTGGAGCTCATAGAATTGGTCATGGTATTGCAATTCAACAAAATGAAGAACTCTTAAACTTTGTTTCAGATAGACGTGTTCCAATCGAATGTTGTATTACAAGTAATGTTCAAATTAAAGCTTTACCAACTCCAGGCCACCATCCAATTAGAAAATACTTTGATCGTGGTGCTGTTGTATCTTTAGCCTGTGATAATGTTACAATGAGTAATGTTACACTCAGTGGCGAATATAAATTGGCTATCGATACCTTTGACTTTAGTGTCGAGGAAACTCTCCGTCTTGTTTCCTATTCATTCTCATCCTCATTCATCGATCCACCAATCAAACAAAACATTTGCAGAGAGAGTATAAAGAAGGCCATCAAAATCTTCCAAATCAACGGTTATTGTATGAACGATATTGTCAAGAATCGTAATTATTATTTTGAAGAGTTTGGCTTAGATGTAGAATTAGAAATAAACAACAATAATAAATTAGAAAAAAGTACTACTTTAAATCTTCCAATTACCAACTTTTCATTGGGTAAAGATATTTCAAGTTATCTTAGTAGACCAGTCACTCTAGATTTGTTAAAGAATTTACCAAAGAGCGATCTTCATACTAGATTTGATGGCAGTGTCTCTATTGAACAGATGTGGTTCGAAATGAAACAAATGGGTATCGATCAATTAGATACTGATGCAAGTAAAAACTTTAAGAGAAAATTTGGTCTTCAAATTACCAACATTGATCAATTTAGATCAATCATTCAAAATCCTCATCACACTCCAGAAACTATTCAACTATCAAAACAAATAATGAATACTTTATTACAAAATACAGACCAAATTAATAGAGCTTTCGATGATATTATTAAAGTTGCAATTTCTGATAATATTCAATATATGGAGTTATTAATTAGACCAAATTCCCACATCAAAAAAGGTTTAGGCAAGGAACAAGTTTTACAATTAATTATTGATAATAAAAATAAATGGGAAGCTACAGGTAAAATCAAAATTGGTATAGTAGTATTCAGCTCTTCATCTTCAGATGATCCAATCGAAACTTTAGCAAATGCAAAATTAGCAATCGAAAACAAATCAAACGGTGTTGTAGGTTTTGGTATTTTTGGTAAAGAGCCAATCTTACCAAATGAAATTAAACATTTCTCAAAAACATTCAATTTATTAAAAGAAAGCTACTTTAACCTTGTTCAATTCAATACCAACATCGAATCGATTATCAGCACATTACATGAGGCTGGTGCAAATAGATTAAGCGGTGCCTTTTTAGCTCATAAAATTCCAAGATTAATGAGCTATCTTGGAGCATACAGAATCCCAGTAGAAATTTCATTAACCGATAAATTAAAATCATTTACAAATGACCTTTCATTCACAACACCAATTCGTCATTTACTCGATAATAAAGTACCAGTTGTAATCTGTTCATTCCGTTCATCTCTTTATAAATTTACAAGATCAGAAATGCTTTATGAAATTGTTAAAAATGGTCAATTGGACATTAAACATGTAATTGCATTATTAAAAAACCCATTCGCACATAATTTCCAATCAAAAGAATCAAGATCAGAATTAGTAGATAAATTTAATCAATTATCAAAAAATTATTTAGATTCAATCAATTATGATTATAAAAATATTTTTATTTAAATAAAATAAAATAAAACAATTAAAAAAAAAAAAATAAAAAAAATAATAAAATATTTGAAATATAATAAAAAAACATTATTATTTCTTTTTATTTATTAATAATAAAAATAATAAAACTTTTTTTTATTAATGTTTTTTAGTTGATTTTATTCTTTTTTTAATTGAGCAGCTCTTTCTTTAAATGATTTTTCAGCATCTTCAAAAACTTCTTTAAATACTGGACGAGTATGGAGTAATTCTAACCATCTTTTAACATTTGGGTATTTATTTTCCCAATCTTCAACTATAATGTTGAAGAAAAGATAAAAAGCCCAACCATAGATAGAGATATCAGCAATGGTTAAAGAGTTACCAACAACATATTCTCTATCTTTTAAGTGACCATCCAAAACTGTATAAAGTCTGTGAACTTCGTCATTGTAACGTTGAATGGCATATGGAATCTTTTCTTTGGCAATATATTTGAAATGGAAAAGTTGACCAGAGAATGGACCTTGACCACTAATTTGCCATGCTAACCATTGGAGAGTTTCAGAACGTTCAATTGGATTATCAGTACCGGCTAAAAACTTTCCATGCTTTTCTGCAAGATAAATTAAAATGGCACCAGATTCAAAGATTGGAAATGGGGCTCCCTTAACGGTATTATCGACAATAACTGGTACCTTGTTATTTCTATTAAGTTTTAAAAACTCTGGTTTAAATTGGTCACCCTTCATAATATCAACTGAATGATATTCATAATCGGTAATGCCTAATTCTTTAAACATAATATGAATTTTATATACATTGGATGTATTGGCACCATAAAGTTCATAATTTTTTTTAATTTCTGAGGTATTTGACATTTTATAATATTTATTTATTAATATGATTTGTTTTTTAATAATAAAAGTTTTTTTTTTTTTTTATTTAAATACTTTTTTTTTTTTAAAAAAAACATACATTGATTTATTTATGGGAAATTATTATTTGTATTGTTTTTGATATTTTTATTTTATAATAAAATCTTGGTTTGAGAATTATTATTTATGGTTCCATAATAATTTGAGTGATGAAAGAATTAGTTTTTAAAAATTATTTTAAAAAAATATGGGACAAAAATAACATAAAATTTTTATTCACCCTATTTTTTTATTTATGGGTTTATAAAAAAAAAAATTTTAATAAAATCTTTATAAAAAATATAATTATTATAAAAATTCTTGTAAATAATTCCTTTTTAAAATACAAAAAAAAAATTTATATTATAAACAATGTTTAAAATATAAATATAAATAAATAAAATGTTTTTGAAAAAATAATTTTTTTTTATTTTTTTTATTTTTTTTTAAATTTTTTTAATTTAATTTTTATAATTTTTTTTTTTTCTAAATTTTAATTACCTTCTCTCAAATAACCACATACAATCACACTACAATGAGTTTTAAGAAATCAATTTTATTTTGGGTAGATGGGGTATTAAATAATACATACAACGAAAAAGAATTATATGATAGTTTAGAATTAAAAACATTAGATACCATTGTCAGCGAAGGTTGCGTAGGTCAATTATTATACTCCAACAATGAAAATCAAGAAAAATATACCGAAAATGAATTAAAAGAATTATTAGGTTTTAATATAAATGAAACATTAACCGAAAGTTTATTTAAAGAAAAGTTTGTATAAATTTCCCCATTTTAATTCAAAAAAAAAAAAGTAAAAAAATAAAAGTTTATATTAACCTTATTTTAAATTATTTAATTTTAGATATATGAATTTAAAAATCAAATTTATTAGTAATGTCGAAAAAGAATTAAATATTTTCGAAAATAGTGTAATATTAAAAGAGTTAAATCAAGAATTCTTTGAAAAAGAAATTAAAGAGTGTAGTGAGGATATGATTATTGTTCATTATCAATGTAAATCCAATCAATTAAAAGAACGTAGAGAACATTTAGTTAATTTAGATTCTTTCTTATCAAATTCAATTTTATCACCATCCATTCCAAATGATTATTATTTATTAAATATAATAATTGGATATAATGAAACAACTATCAATGTTCCATTAACTGAACAACAACAATCAAATATTACCCCACAATGGTTTTCTCAACCCCCAAAAAGCTTTAACTTTTTAAATAGTAATATAATCAATCCAAGGTAAGTTTTTTCTTTTTTTTCTTTTTCTTTTTTTTTTTTTTTTTTTTTTCAAAATACTTAAACTATTTTATTTTATTAGAATGACATCCCCATTATTTACAATTGAATACAATCCAACAATGACAAGAAAAGATTATAGTTGCTCGTTTAAGGAAAGCGAATTTATTAAAGGTTCAAATGGTAAAATTTTATTAATCCAACATTTCAGAGAAGTTGCATTCAAACTTGGTAAAGTTCCAAAGTACGGTGCTTAATAATAATACTTTCTATAAATAAAAATTAAAATAAAATTTATCTGTAGATATAGGTGAAAAGAAATTTTAAAATAAAAATAAAAAAAATCCAAATGAGGAAGTTGGTGATACCATAAAAAAAAAAAAAATATTTATTATTTTAAAAAAAAAAAAAATAATATTTTTATTTTTTATTAAATTTTATTTCATTTTTATTTTATTTTTTTTCATTATAAATAAAAAAAAAAGTGTATTAATATTTATTTATTTTTTATAACAACCACACCACACACAAAATAAAAATATCTTTGTATAATTATAAAAAAAATAGTTATTAAAAAAATAAATAAAAATGGATGATATCATTAAAACCGAAATTGAATTACATAAACAATTCAAAAATTTAGATGTAATTGGTTTTGATATGGATATGACAGCAGTTAGATATAATAACGAGAATATTGGAAGTTTAGTTTACGATTGTATTTCTATTCATTTAAAAAAAGTATTCCCAGAAGCATTTAAAAATGTAAGTAATATTTCTATTAACTTTTTATTTGTTATTCATTAAATATTAATTTTTATTATTATTTTTAGTCAGTAATCGATTTTAATTTCTGTAAAAGAGGGTTAGTTATTGATCTCGAAACAGGTTTAATTTTAAAGTTAGATAATAACAAAAAGGTATTAAAAGCATTTAGAGGAAATCATTTAGTTAGCAGAGAAGAGATTGACGAATTATATCACAACCACAGTATTAAGGAAGATAGCCCAATGCACAGTTATAGTGGAAACAATTGCCATAGATTCTTTACAATGGCATCATTCTTTGAAACAACCCTCACATGTATATTCAAAGATTTCATGATCTATTTAGAAAAAGAAGCCAATGCAACTGGTAAACCAATCGACCTTTCACAATTAAAGAAATTAGCAAAAGAAATTGCTGTCTCATTCAAAACCCATTTCGATAATTTCTACGATAGCCATTATTATTACGAATTTTGCGCCAATCCAGGTAAATTTATTTACAAAGTTAACCCAAAGTTTTTAGAATGGTTGAAATTAATTCGTTCAAAGGGTACCAAAGTATTATTAATTACCAATTCGAAATCAGAGTATACCGATGCTGTTATGAAATATTCCTATGGTGAAAACTTTAAGGATCATTTCGATTGTATTATTGTAGATGCCCACAAACCAGAATTTTTCTCAAAGGACAAACCATTCGTCGAACAACATACCTATTTCCCAAAAGGTCCAGATGACTATATTCCATGTGACTCAATTAAATTAAATAGCAACTCAATCTTTAAGGGTGGAAATGTTAATATAGCTTTAAATGCAATTAGAGAATCCCTTCAAAAATCAGATAGTGATGAAATTTCATTTTGTTATGTTGGTGATAATATTATGGGTGATGTTGTAGCTCCAAAAAAGTATGTATATAATAATATTATTTTATCCTATTTTATTTTATTTTACTAATTTATTTATATTTAGATTAAAAATGATGACTGTTGGTATTATTGATGAAATTGTTGACCCAGATGAAATTATAATTTTAAAGAGAGAAAAAAAAACAAACGAAGATGTTTCAATTTCAAAAGAAGGTTTAATCGAAAAAAATTTAGAAAAAAGAGATTATGAATGGGGAAGTTTCTTCCATGTTCATGATAATCATAAAAATATTAGCATCGATACTTTTTGGGGTTCTATATTAAGAAATAATGCTGATATCATCACACCATCAGTCGACACCCTTGCTGAATATTATTATCAAGATAAATTTGACAACTATGAAACCCTATCACCATGTGCAGTTGTTTATCCAGAATAAATCATTTAAACAGAAATTAATATTAAATAAAGTTTATTTAATTTAGATGTTTATAAATCTAAAAAAATTTTAAAAAAATTTTAAAAAAATAAAAAAAATAAAAAAAAAAGAGTTTTTTTTTTTTTATTTTTTATTTTCTTTAATAATTTTTCATTTTTTTTTTTTCTTTACAAATAATAAAAATGAATAATCTAAAAAGAATTTTGATAAATAATAATAATATTAATAATTTATATAAACCCTTTATTTATAATAATAGATATTTTACAACAAATAACAATAATAATAATAATAATAATAGTAATGATGATAAAAACAATTTAAATTATAAAATTAATGATATGGTCAACGAGATTAGAAAATTCGATTTATTAAGTGAATTAAAAAAAGAAGATTTAAAGCATGGATTTTCATATGAAAAAGGTCATTTAAAACAATTAATGGAATTAATGGAAAAAGAAATTTTAATTGAATCTCAAAAACAACAAAAAGAAATGGAATTTGACGAAAATGTATATAATAAATTGATGAATGATTTTAAAAAAAGAGTTTCAGAACATGAAGAATTTTTAAAAAAAGAAAAAAAGAAATCAAATATTAAATTTTATATACTTTCCATTTTTTTAGGTGTTGTACTTGCTCAACAAATTCAAATTGGTTTAGAAAAAATTCAAAATAATAAAGATCAATTTGATGAAAGTTGGGAAAAACTCAGAGTAATAGTCACCGAAAGAGATGATTTAAGAAAAAAGAAGCAATCTCTTCAAGAAATGATCACCGATCAAATATCAAAAGAAATTGAGCCAAAATCAATTTACTCACTCGACAATGAAGATATTAAACATAATGTTGACTCTATTGTAAATGAACTTTGTATTGAAAATAAATCACCATCGGATATTTTATCAAAATCGAATAAAAATCTTTCGAATAGTAAAATTTAAAAGAAACAAAATAAAATATTTAAACAAAAAAAAAATTAAAAATTAAAAAAATAACTATAAACTATCCACACAGTTTTTATAATTTTTATTGTTTTTTTTATTTTTTTGTATTTTTTTTTTTTATTTATTTATTTTTTATTTTACCAGTTTTATAAATATTGTTTTTATAATTTTATTATTACTATAAACATCACCAATCCATATTTATCTATACTTTCATCAATTTTTAAAAAATTATTTTTTTTTTTTTTTTTTTTAAATATTTTATTTTTATTTTTATTTATTTTTTTTAAATTATTTTTTATTTTTTTGGGTTGGATAATTTTTATTAATTTTTTTTTTTTACAAATAATATAGACTTAAAAATAATATCCACATATCAGAGAGATAAAATATATACACATATATCCACATATAAACATATAGATAATAATTTTAATAATAATAATATAAATATTTAAAATATTTAAAATATCTAAAATATTAAAATATAAACACAATAGAATATAATATAATAAAATAAAATATGACTGGCAGAAGAGTTATAAAAATAGTAATTATAGGAGAAAAAAGGTAAGAGATAGTTACACAAAATTTTTATTTTTAGAAAAAACCTAAGGTTTTATAAAATATGCATATTAATATTTTAATTTTTTTTTTCTTTAGCGTTGGTAAAACTAGTATATTAAAAAGATATGTAGATCAAAGATTTATAACATTAAAACCAACCATTGGTATTGACTTTGTAAATAAAGATGTAATGGTTAACGATCAAATGGTAACACTTCAACTTTGGGATACATCAGGACAAGAACGTTTTAGATCACTCGAAGTTTCTTATTATAGAGGTGCAGATTGTTGTATATTAGTATTTGATGTTACTAGTGAAAAATCACTTCACGATTTAAAGCTTTGGAGAGACGATTTTATAGAGAAAACTGGTGTACAGGATGCTGACAATTTCCCATTTGTAGTTTTAGGTAATAAAGTGGATGACCCAAATAGAAAAATTAAAGAAAAACAGGCTCAACAGTGGTGCGAAACAAATATTGGTGGTAAATTCATTTATTTTGATACCTCTGCAAAGGATAATATAAATATAGAACAAGTTTTTAAACATATTTCTCATTTTTCGAATTTTCAATCAATACCAAAAACACCACCGTATGTATAAACATCATTATTAATAAAAGATATAGTTTTATTAACAATAACTCTTTTTTTTTAAATACTATAGTGAGGAATTAATTAATATAACAGCTCAAGATGAAAATAAAAGCTCGTGTTGTTAAAAAATAATTTTAATAAATATAAATTTAGAATATATAATATCAATTAGATAAAAATAAAAAATAAAAACCAATTATTTAAACAAATGCATAAAAAACCCATACATACAAAACAGCCATTATATAATATTTCAAAAAAATAAAAAATAAAAAAATTAAATAGCTAAAGAAAAATAAAAGATAATAGATATTTATTATTTTTCTTTTTTTTATATTAAAAAAAAATTTTATTTATTTATATATTTATATATTTATTTATTTATTTATTTCTTTTTATGTATTTGACAGAATTCAATAATTCTTTCGTAAGCCTCAGTTAATTTATCAACTGGTGCACAAAAAACGACTCTAAAGAAATTTGGAATTTGAAAAACAGAACCTTGAAGGAGGAAAACACTTTGTTCTGATAATAATTTACCAACAAATTCATTATCATCTGCAATATCTTCGAATGCATTTACATCGATTTCAATCATTTGATACATTGTACCTGAGGATGGAACAGGCTTTAAACCATGAGCTTTTGATAACATATCAATAGTTAATTTTGAATGTGTCTCCAATGTCTTAGCAAGGTCATTGCAGAAATCTTGAACAATTTTATTGTTTTTATCTAAAATTTGTGGTAATACTGATTGTATAAGTGAATTTGAACCTAAAATAAGTTGACTTAAAGATATGATGGCATCTGGAATTTTAGCATTGGTAAGAATATTTTGACGATCATGGATAGCAACCCAACCTAATCTCCAACCTGGAACAACAAATCTTTTGGCAATACCACCAATTGAAAGTACTGGTACAGTTTCTGTTAAAGAGGCCATTGGATAGTATACATTATCACCAAATGTAATATCTGCATAAATTTCATCTGCAATAATTGGGATACAGTACTCTTCAGCAACTGCTAAAATATCTTGTAAATGTTGTTTAGTATAAACGATACCGCATGGATTGGATGGATTGTTTACGAGGATAGCTTTTGTCTTATCATCAATTAATGATTTAAGATGTTCGAGATCTACTTGGAAATTGTTTTGTGACTGTAAATTATAATACTTTATTCCAAATCCTTTAGATTTACTGGTGCATTCATATAATGAAAAACCTGGTTTTGGAATTAAAATATTATCTCCTGGATTTAAAATTGCGCTGAATGCTAATTCGATTGCACCTGATGCACCTGATGCAATAATGATATCTTTTGAATTTAATTTTGATGTTTCTGTTTGTACATATTCTGCAACTGCTGCTCTTGCAAATTCATAACCCTAAAGTAATAAATAAAAAAAGAAAATTAATATATTATTAAAATTAAAAAGATTTATTTTATTTTATTATTTGTTTTTTTTCTTCTCTAACATACAGTTGATGGTGGATAACCATTAAATTTACCAGACTTAATATTTTCAATTAATAATTGATCAACGTAATCTGAAATCTTGAGATTACCATATACACATGGGTCACCAATTGATAATGGTATAGTTGGTTTATTTGGATTTGGTTTATAATTCATTTTATCTACTATTTGTCTAATTGGATTAACAGTGTTCTTTGCAGCAATTGATGCTTCAACATTCCACTTTCTGGTATTTTCTTTTTGTTGCATTTTGAAACTATATGTGATTAAATTTAAATTACTAATAAATTTTTATAAGAGCTTAATATAATGTAAGGAAAAACAAAAATAAAAGGGTTGTTTTTTTTTTTTGTGTGTGTTTAAAGTTTTAAAAAAAAAAAAAAAAAAAGAAAAATAATAAAAAAAAAAAAAAAAGAAAAAAAGAAAAAAATAAAAAAAAATAATAAAAAAAAAGAAAAAAAATAAAAAAAATATTAATTTTTTTAAAAAAATAAAATAAAAAATAAAGAGTAGACAAAGTTGTTTCGTAAAGAAAAAATATGAAATTTTGAAATTTCAATAGATATTTATAATAAAAAAAATAAAATAAATTAATTTTCATTTTTTTTTTTTTCGGTTTTTTTTTCAAAAAAAAAAAATTCAAATATTTGTTTTTATTGTTTTTAAAATATGTTATACCAAAAAATCATATGATTTTTAGTATAAATGTATGATTATTGTCATGATTAAGATTTTAATAATTTGATTGCTAATTAAAAAACATTAAAATAAAATTTCGATTATTTTTCTTTTTTTATTTTTTTTTTTTCGCTTTCGGTTTTTTTTTTTTTTTTCTTTTTTTTTTTTTTTAAAAAAATTAAAATTTTTTTTTTATTTTTATTATTTTTATTATTTTTAAAATATATATATTACTTTAAATAAAATGAAAAGAGAATTAGAAGTCGAAGAAGATGATGATATGATGGAAAATCCAAATACATCAAATGATTTACAAAAAAAGAAAAAAAAGAAAGTTGTTAAAAAGAGTAAACCACAACCATTAACCAAATCAATTCCACAAGTAACACAGCAACCATTAAAACCAACTAGATTGGTACCAAAGAAGAAAGCAGAAATTCGTGAAATTAATATTAATGAAATTGGTCAAAATGAATTATCAAATACCGATCATAGAGTAGAGGCTGATGGTGTTTTAGCTGGTTTAATCACTCCAATTATTATTGAAGATTTTTATAACGAATATTTTGGTCTTAAACATTTACATATCAAAAGATCAGAGAATGTATACAAAAACTTTTTCACCAAAGACTCATTGGATAAGATGCTTCGTAACAACTATATGAAATTCACAGAGAATGTCGATGTAACAAACTACGTCAATGAAGAAAGAATTACTTTGAACCCAGAAGGTAGAGCTTATCCATCTTTAGTTTGGAAACATTATAAGGTAATTATTTTTTATTTGAATAAGAAAAAAAAAAAAAAAAAAAAATATTAATATAAATTACATTTTTAGGAAGGATGTTCAGTTAGATTATTAAATCCACAAACATTCAATTCAAATGTTTGGAAATTATGTAGTATTTTACAAGGTCATTTTAAATGTGGTGTTGGTGCTAATATTTATTTAACACCAGCAGGAGCACAAGGATTTGCACCACATTATGACGATGTTGATGTTTTCATTCTTCAATTAGAGGGTAAAAAGGAATGGAGACTTTACCACCCAAAAGATCAAACAGAAGTTTTACCAAAGAAATCAAGTGAAAATTTTGCACAAGATGAAATTGGTGAACCATACTTTACATGTACTTTAGAAGCAGGTGACCTTTTATATTTCCCAAGAGGTGTTATTCATCAAGCTGTTAGCCCACCAGATGTTCATTCACTTCACATTACAGTTTCAACCTATCTTAACAATACTTGGGGTGATTTAATTGGTAAAGTTTTAAATAGAGCATTAGAAATTGCCAACGAAGATTGTTTGGAATTTAGAGAAGGTTTACCAAGAGACTACTCAGATTTCCTTGGTGTTATTCATAGTGATAAAGTTGGCGAGGAAAGAAGAAAGGAACTCTTAGATAAAGTTGGTACTCTTTGGGATAAATTAGGTCAATATTTACCAGTTGATGTTGCTGCTGATCAAATGCATATTAAATATCTTATCGATTCACTTCCAACCGCTTTAAATCAAAATGAAAAGAAACATTCAATCGAAGATGAAACCAATCCAATGAAAATTAAAACAGATACAAGATTTAGATTAATAAGACAAGATAGTGTTAGATTGGTCGTCGAAGATATCGCTATTCTTTTCCACAATGCCGATAATACTCGTGTTTTCCATCAAATTGGTGACGAACCAGGTATCATTGAATTCACCATCGAATGTGTCGATGCATTAGAACATATCATTGACTCTTATCCAGCCTACATCGCTGTTAAAGATTTACCAGTTGATGATGATGACCAAAAAGTAGATGTTGTAAGTGCATTATACGAAAAAGGTTTAATTATGTTTGAAAAATAAATTTAATAAAAAAATAAAATAAAATAAAATATAAAATAATATTGTTAAATTATTATTATTATTATTATTTACTATTTACTATTGATCATTTATTATTTTTATTACTATACATCAATTTTTAATATAAATATTTTTATTAAAAAATAAAAATGATTAGCGGGGTGTGTTATCCACCTTATACTAAGGGTTTTATTTTCAAACTACACCCAAAATTGTACAATAATGTTTTTGTGATAAATTATAGTGGTTGAATTTCAATTTTTATTTTATACTGTAAATATAATTTTATATAGTAAATATAATAAAAAAAAAAGAATTAAACAATTAATCTAATTTTTTATACATATATATACAAAATAGTAAAAATAAATAAATAAATAGAGGAAGAGATTTGTATAATACCTATAATAATCTATATTGTTTTTGTGAATACTAATTGAAATCACCTAAAAAAAACAATATGATTAAAATTATTTTTTTATTGAAACATATGATAAATTTAATATAAAAATAAATATATTCTATTTAAAGAATGGATTTAAAAATAAAATAATAATAATAATAAAAATAATAATAATAATTATAATAATTTTAATATATATTCAATATTGATAAAAAAAAAAATAGTTTTTAACAATCACCCCTCCCACCCATCACCCAATAATACACTATCATTAAAAAAAACAACTATTTAAATCTATTACTTTTATAATAAAAAAATAAAAATATAAAATTTAAATTCTTTTTTTATTTGTTGAAGAACAACATGATAAAAAATATAATTTATTTTTAGAGCAATAAACTTGTTGTATTTGATATCATAATAAGCAAAATTATTATTTAAAAATAAATTATATTAAATTAAATATTATGTTTGAGATAAATAAATAAAATAAATAGATAATTTATTATAAATAAAGTTAACTATTATATAAAAAAGAAATGGAAAATGAAAAAAATAAAATATATAAAAAAGAAAATAGTAATAATAAAGAAGAAATAAAGGTATTTAAATTTTTAATTCTTTTTTTTTTTTTTATTTTATTTTTTATTTGTTTATTTGTTTGTTTGTTTTTTTGTTTATTTGTTTGTTTGTTTATTTGTTTATTTGTTTGTTTATTTTTAGATATTAAAAAAAATTATTTTATTAATTATTATTTTAATTTAAGGATTTAGAAAGTTTGAAAAGAAAAAAAAGCAATGGAAGATTATTTTGCATAATTATTACATGTTTGGTTGTATTTTTATTAGTTTTGGTTGGAGTTGTGGCTACTATTATTATTGTTGTTGATAAGAAATAATAAATATTTTTGAAGAAGAGGATTGAGTGTATATTATAAAATATCTATATATACCATAGCTAACGAATAAAATTAAAAATTTGTCTTAATCTGTTCCCCCAATTAGTTTAATAAAATTCATTGTGTAAATTTGCAAATATTTCCATTTTACTATAAATTATTTATTTTTTATTTTTT